TTGTAAAATTAGGATTCCTGCCCCATCCCCAGGGGCTAGGGCGGGGCCCCAAAGGGAACATTTACCAATATTTTCAAATTCTTATCCATTGATGACATGACAAGTATTGTATTTCACTTAGTTTACATGCTGATTTCCACATCACATCTAAACAATAAAATAAAGCTACCAGTACCTATGATATAACTCAGGTGACCGCTAAGACCCTTTGGCCTCTTGTTTATCAATAGACAGAGTTGTAAACTTTACATTCGGTTTAGCTTTTGTTCTTTTATAATAAATGAATTTCAAGCAAATTTATGCAGTTCTGTCAATCATACACATGAAGTAAAATTAATAAGAATGACTTCCAATGTGTTATTTATATTGTATACATGTACATTAATATTTGACACTTAGAATTCAGTAGTGAACTGATTATATCAATTAGGAAACTTGTAATTGATATTCAAAATCAGATATGGCAAACTGATTAATTTTCTATTGCTAGAGTTCATATCCGGATTATACATAACAAATGTTTCGGTTAGTTGGAAAAGAATGCTCATTGTGTGATCCCAATTTATTTTTTAACAGAATCAAGTGGAATGTTTGGAACCAGAGTTCTCTCCCCTAAGATGGGTGAAATCACCTGCACAGCAAGCAACAATAACGCCCTCAGTGGAGGGAGTTACACAACCATGGGCAATGGATCAGTTGGTGTCAGCAACACCCGTGTCGCAGATCATTCTTACAATGGAATCAAGGTGTCCTCTCGCATGCAGCTGGCTACTCCATCCCCTGATCATGTGTATCCTCTGACCTTTGCCAATCTAGCTCAACCAGAGGATGACACAGCCAACACTCAGAAGCTTGCCATCGGGACATGGCGCAGTATGTCAGTGGAAGTTAGTGGCCATGATCCTTATGATCAGATCTACAAACATGGAAAAAACTTCATCAGACCTGAAACACTCGGGAACCAGGTCCAACCTTATACACCAGAAAAAGAAAATGTGTCCTTGTTCCTTAAGAAAATGCAACAGGAGAGTGATACAAAGCTCGCCTTCAGAGGACCAAATCTTGAGGACACATGTTTTCGATTTCAAGATCCTGAAGACATGCCTGATGAAACGCAAGATTTGTCTGGATTGATCCATGATATTGACGATGAGTTGGAGAAAGTCCCTCCAGGTCAAGAAAAGGAAGTTGATAGGAAGGGCTTTGAAGATTTTCAAGCTGTAAATGGAAAACCAGAAAATCCCATTTTGGAAGAAACGGTCCCAGCCCTTGGAGTTCAGGTGCGTAATGTTGGAGCAAAGCCAGTAGAGGATTTTTCTAAACTCAACATTGTGCTGACCTCGGGCCATCATCAAGGCGAATACCAGAAGGCACTGTACAAACTCATACTGGGTGTCAAAAACAAATCTGGTGTAACACCATCATCTGTTTTCAAAGAAGGGTAAGTAATTGTCATAGTTAGATTCTTGGAGTAAATGAAGCAAAAATTGCAATATCAGGACATTGTACTGGCATTTTGTTTTCATGTTGAAATGTAACAAGTTCATTTAAACATTTGTGTGATACAGTTATATGGTATACATTTAAATTTGTAAAGCTCAGACCATTTATTTACATGTACAATTGATATAATCAGTTAGTGACAAGCACCAGTTTATTATATAAGTACCATTTACGAGGTTGATTCAATTTCAGTATTTATCATGATTATTAGAAATGCAAGTATTTGTTTTTATTTGAATCCTGTCAAAATGAGTCAATGATTGTAAATTATATAATGAATAAAAACATTTAGATGTTAATTATATAATGAATAAAAACATTTAGATGTTTGTAAGAATGTAAACATCAGAATTCTGCTATAATTATTATTCCTGGCTATTCTTACTGGGTAGTTTTTGTACATTTCATTCATTGGGTGAATTGACATTCTAACAAAACATGCAAGAACATATTTTCAAAAGATTTAGTTTGATCAGTATTGTTCTATAAAAACTCCTTTGGATTAATATTTTGATGATAATAATAAAAAATTACAATGTTTTTTTCAGGCGCGTTCTATTTGGAACTGATAAAGCGTGCCAGGAAATGTTGGACAAGAGTGAGTTCCTTCCATCCCATGGTACTCATGGCGTAATCCTGTACGATGTACGTAAGATTTTTTTTGTTTGTTGAAAATACCATAATAGTTTAAAGATTCTTTAGTACCAGGTAATATACATTTGTAGTTAGTGTTTTGTTTTCAGTTCATGTATTTTTAAAATGGGATCAGGGCCTCAGAATTGGGACATCTACATCTATATCATGGCCGGCATCCAAATTAGAAGTTTTAAATTATTCATCTATAAATATATTTTTTTCTAAATATCATTTTGAAAAACTAGACGTATTTAAAGTCATTTGTTTTTCAAAGCTCATTTACAATTTAAATTATTAACTGTCAAAAAATAAGGCCAGAACTGGGCCACAAATTGGATAAAAAAATGCACTTAGTAATATAATTGTAGCGTAACACAAATTTACAGTGATAAGCAGTGAATGTTGTCATGTATTACTTTGCTAGCGAAAGTGAAAATATTGGTAATATAAGAACAGTCTTTTTTACTTTTTTAATTTAATACATCAAGACTATTTAAATGCACGAAAAATGTTTAATAAAGTACAAAAAAAACCTGCAGCCTTTAACGAATCATAGGGAGAAGAGAGAGACAAAAATGGTTTCTCTTCAAGCCGTTGTGAATAGCCCTAGCTAAGAATGTCCACACTTTGATCACATTGTAGAAGCTAAGACCACAGAAGGGGAGATACACAGAAGAAGACTTCTCAGTAACAGAAGTTTTGGGAAGGGGAAACTTTGGCGAGGTGAAACTGTGTCAAGACAAGACTACCAAGGCCAAGTTCGTTAGGAAGCAGGTATATTGTCTGTTCTGATCGTCTATTAGAATCCAAAGAGAGTTTGTTTCTATACCAAAACCAATGATCAAACTCAAAACTCAATATTTCGTTGATCAGAAAATCAAAATACTTTCAGGCATTAAAGATATTTTTACAGTAACATCTTCGATACATTTTGCAACAGTGATGTTTATGAATGGGGTATTCTAAATTTTGGAAATGATAATTTTTCAGCCTTTATTTTATTGGCAACCATGCAAATCAAAGTCCTTTAAAATTAAATAAACATGCGTTTTGTGAGTGAACAAAGCCACACTTGCTTCTTAGACAGAAAACTTCTTAGGAAACATCTAAATCCCACAACAAATTGAGATTTCTGGTAAACATCTAAATCCCACAACAACTTGAGATTTCTGGTAAATATCTCAATCCCACAACAAATTGAGATTTCTGGTTACCAATTTTGAAAATGAAATGTTTGGTTTTGATTTTATTGCACAGATATGTAGTATAGGAAGTTTATTTCTTTATTTGGTTAGGTTAGGACAGATTATAAGAAGTCTGAGGTAGAGGTGATGATGTCCCTGAAGCACCAGAACATCACTCAGTTCTACGGTGTCGTTCAGCGGGAGGGTGATACAGAGATCTTGATGGAGTATTCTGGTAAGTCGGTTTCATGGTATTATGAAGAGTTGCAATTTTGCTACATGATGACCCCAATAGACTTTGTATAAAATGGCCATATATTTTGTAGGTGTATCCCTGCTGACATTTGTTTTGGTACCTGCTACAAAGCACCTTGTGACGGAAGAGTTCATCTGGAATGTCAACCGTCAAGGCCTTTCTGCTCTTGCACACCTTGAGATATATGGTATCATTCACCTTGATATCAAACGTAAGTGATCAAGTAAAAATCTTTGTGATGATAATTGTGTATTTATATTCTGAATATTATGAACAATATTTTCTAAGTACATTAAAAATATAATAAGATATGGATATAGAGGCAGAGTGTCTGCCTGCAGCCATTATTTATCCTATTGTATCCTATTGTATATTCATACACTTATTGATATCATTTACATATGATTTGATATGATGCTAACAATACTTTGGTCATATTCATGAAAACGTTGAACACAGATTCTGACTTTAAGCATTAGAATAGTTAATTTACCATTCTCGTGCTAAGTTCAGGCTGTCTGCTCAAGAATATTACACTGGATAAAATCATAAAGAAATTAGCATCTCATTGTAATCAATTTCTTATATATATATATTCACATTATATACATGTCATATATATATGTAATTCAAGATAGTTTATGATATTTTATTTGCCTAAAACTGAACTTGACCTGAGGATCTGTGTAATACAATTTCCTGGCTAACAACCCCCTGCATATAAAAAAGATAAATAAAAAAGGAGAGTTGATAGCAGTCAGTAAATTGTCTATTTGTTATAAATATTAATATCACAAAGATCCCACATTTTTGTATGCTGAAGTTCTAATGTTCTTGTGTGTGTTACAGCTGAGAATATGTGTATCCTGGAAACTGCCACTGGTTGGACCTTAAAGCTGACTGACTTTGGGTCTGCCAAACTACCACAGGACCCGCTGACATACAACGGCTGGACAGCGGAGTACATGTCTCCAGAGGCCAGTATCAGCTTTGTGAAGTCACGGTTCCCACAGTTGACCCTCATTGACAGTGAGGACTGGGCCATAACACCAAAGAGTGATGTGTATAGCTGGGGTCTCACTGTCGTGTTCATGTACAGGAAAACACACATACTGATGCATGCATATACAGGAGGCCAGAACAACTACAAAAACGTAGACAACCCAACTCAAATCAAACTGCTCATCATAATGTCGGTAAGTTAATAAAGAAGCACTCAACAACAGTTTCTGGAACCCTATTTTGTGATGTGGTTGTAATACTGAGCAACGTTCAGGGTGGTCGGGTGGTGCAGTTGATAGGGCACTTGCCTTTCACCAAGGTGGCCGTGGTTCCCCCATCGGACGTGAAAAGGTATGTGGTCACCTGTCCGACCACGTGGGTTTTCTTCAGGTACTGTGATTTCCTCCCATAGTAAAACCTCTCACGCTCTAACATCTGGGCCAACAAGAGTGATTAATATAAGGTGTAAACACTTGTTTCATAACAGTTGTAAAATAAATAAAGTCTATATTAAGCAATGTTCATGAAAGTGAACTGTTTTTACAGTCACAAAAAAAGACAGAATCCAGAAATGCTGTAATCTGTTTCTCATTACTGTAACCCAGTGTGCTTTGTACATATAGTATATATACAGTGGAATCTTTATTAAGTGACCACCCAAGGGAAATTCAAAAACTGGTTGTTTAATAAAGTTTGTAACCCAGTGTACTTTGTACATATAGTATATATACAGTGGAATCTGTATTAAGTGACCACCCAAGGGAAATTCAAAAACTGGTCGTTTAATAAAGTTTGACCATATTTTGTACAGAATTACACAACCGACTATAACCAAACGACTTATTCAGACGACTGTAGACAGACCACCACCCCAAGCACACATTTGCACATGTATGTAAAGTTAGTTAAAAACAACATCGTTCAAGATCAGGTGAATAACTAAACAATAGTCAAGTGATAATTATGACAGTAAACAAACAACTCGGAGTGTTTGAGAAGAATTGTCATTTCACTCAAAACAAACAATCGCTGGAGACTTTCTTAACTTTCACGACTGTGTTTTTCGGTAATTACCATGATTGAAGCTACCATGATTGAAGCTAACTTGTTACGAAAGATATTGTTGTTGAAATGATAGAGGTTCCTGTGGTGGTCCAACAGATGGTTTCACGTATATGATATTATTCCTTTATTTTACGGTGGAAACTGGAAAGAGAATCCAGTTAAAAAATTGACCTAAATAAAGCCGACAGCGTGTTGCCGAAAAACGGACCGTTATTATTGCCGTTAGTACTTTGGCGTGGAGAAGTTCGGGGTATTATTAAAGGCTTTTAATGTTGATGAGGAATTAAAAATGATATGTGTGTTACTGTTAACATAAACATGTTTAGAGCGTAGTTGCGCTGATATTTAAAGTGAATTTTGCGCGTGAGTGATGTCATGAACATCTCTAAACAGACCTGATTTCAAGAATGGAAACCCGCTAGTGTACTTCATCCAATCAGATGGAGGATATCGAAGGGTTAAAGGTTACATTGCCTAGCAGGACACTCGCGCAATCAAAATGGTTTTGCTCAACTGCGATAAATCATTGCTAAATCAGCAATATCGGCAGTTAGAAAAAATATTTTTTTTTGTTTCTGCACATCAATGATTTTATTATAAATTTGGAAATTTGTTTTGTCAAATTTGTTTACTGAACTTTGTGAAAAGAGCGCTATGTAGCCCTTCGTCAAATGTGGTGACGTTTGCAAATTTGGAGTTACACGACTATTTCAACGACCGTTTAATATATTTTCATCAAACATGGTCGCTAAAATGTATCAAATATGGTCGTTTAACGTAATTTTGGGGTCAGTATTTGGTGGTCGCGTTAGACAGATGGTCCCTTAATACAGTTAAATTACATAGTAAAAACCGTCGGGGGTAATGAAAAGTGGTCGCATAAAACAGATGGTCACTTGAGCAGATTTGACTGTACATGTGTATGTACATATTTTCCCTAAATGACGTGGAGTGAAAAGACTAGTGATATTCTCATTATTCAACTTGTCAATTATTTGTCGGTTTGACCAAAATATGGGATTAGTCGACTGCAAATTCATGATTGATTTTAATGTGAAGAACTGTGTGTAGATGAGTTTTCAGTAGAATGATTCATGACAAAATATGTACACATTCACCTGGAAATGGACTACAGGCCTAGGTATATCCATAAAATGCACTCAAATGCATTGATTTGCTGTTAAGAAACTTGTATGAGACATATATTAATTTTCATGTTTGTATTGACAGATGGCACGGGACCCAGACATGGTTCGAAGGTGCCTGATCCCTGACGATTGTAGCTCAGACATGAAGATAGTGATGAACTGTCTGCTGGCAGGAAACCCAACACAGCGCCATTCAGCTGCAGAAGCTGTTGCCGCAATTGACAGTAAGTACATCAACATCAACCCAGGTTTAAACAGTAAGTACATCAACATCAACCCAGATTTAAACAGTAAGTACATCAACACCAACCCAGGTTTAAACAGTAAGTACATCAACATCAACCCAGGTTTAAAGCCTATTATTGTTAGGATATCAATTGCCTGGATGTGAAACTGATATTGACTGGTGTTGAATTCTAGACTACTGGTGAGGTAAGTCAGGTTTCATACAAGCCCTAAAAGAAATTGACTAAATGATAATTAGTCCCCCACCAGTTCCCAGTGGGGTCTTCTGCACTATTTCACCTGGAGTAACCAGATTTGGTGTACAAGTACATCTTCGGATGGCAGACTGCAAGAATTAGGTCATTGTGATGTAAGACTTGACCTTTGACCGCTTCTTTTAAAAAAGTTTGACAGTCACATAAGTACACTTTTTGTTAAATATAGAAATCATTACTGGTGGGGGACTATGGATTGCCTTGCAAATCTTTGCTTTGTTAAACTATGTTTGTATATTAATTTTGGTACTATTCTTCATAAAAAGGAATTCAGAAATTAAAAAAAAGGAATTTATTGAAACAAGTGAATTCAATGATATCCTAGATGCCACCTTGTGTTTGATTAAAGTGCTCATAAGTGTTAATATGATGAGTCTAGAGGCATCCAGGTTACACACCGGAGCTTCTGCATTCCAAGGGTTACAACAGATTTATCATGTACTATATGATGAGTCTAGAGGCATCCAGGTTACACACCGGAGCTTCTGCATCAAGGGTTACAACAGATTTATCATGTACTATATGATGAGTCTAGAGGCATCCAGGTTACACACCGGAGCTTCTACATTAAGGGTTACAACAGATTTATCATGTACTATATGATGAGTCTAGAGGCATCCAGGTTACACACCGGAGCTTCTACATTACAAGGGTTACAACAGATTTATCATGTACTATATGATGAGTCTAGAGGCATCCAGGTTACACACCGGAGCTTCTACATTACAAGGGTTACAACAGATTTATCATGTACTATATGATGAGTCTAGAGGCATCCAGGTTACACACCGGAGCTTCTACATTACAAGGGTTACAACAGATTATCATGTACTGATGAGTCTAGAGGCATCCAGGTTACACATCTGAGTTTTCTGCATTCAGAGCGTTACAAGAGATTATATTGTGGGTAATACACAATATATTTAAACAATAACTGGTTGTCTGGATGTAATTATTGTTGATATAATCACAAGTGGCCTCTGGCAAATCCCATAAAACCCGCCAGAGGCCACTTGTAATTATATCAACAATAAATACATCCAGACAACCAGGTATTTTTTATATTTACATATTTTTTCTTTTTTAAGACATATTCCTACAAAAACCATTTGCCCTGCCTCAAAATACATTTCAGGTGGCCATTTTGTTTGTTTACATATTCCTACACCTGAAACAGGCAGTTGTAATTATATTCGAGCAGTTGTAATTATAGCCTATATAATAACACTTGCCCTCTAACACTGTTGTAATGGGACGGCGCAGGGGCAAATGTAAATATAACTTCATGTACTGCATTAATCAATTTAATGTAATCATTGTGGTTTATACTTCATTTGCAAAAATATTATGTTATAATATTATGTGTGTTTTTCTTTTATCAAATCTTTTCTTCTTTTAATAGAAATCAGCAGTGATAAGCTGCTCTCCAAGGCAGACTCATTACCAGAATTGTTGGAAAACGATCTGGACTGTTTCATCTATGACCCATCAGAGGTGCACTCACCTGCACCAGGACCTACCAGAGTTCGTAGGACCAGTTCGGTGTCCAGTTGTGTGTCCAGTCAGGCGTCCATCAGTAGTGTTCTGTCCTACTGTTCCAATGCTAGTTGCTCCAAACCAAGAAGTCCTAACGGGACGGGGAAAAGTCGACGGCGAATTGTGAAGAAGAAGCTGCGGGACAGAATCGCAAGCCCGTACCCGAGAACTGATAGAATGGAAATCCTGTCCCCTAGTACAGAGCTGGATGGAAATGTCCCAGACTTTGCAGCCCTTGGGTAGACAGCTGATGAAGTGTCATGAACATTCGGACAATGCTTATTTAATTGTAGCTTGTGTGCATTAAACATTTTGCTAAACATTTTACTTAGATTTCAGTTGCGTATTGTAAGAGCTATTCCATTCTGAATTACACCAGTTCAGTGGATAATATATAAATTTGGTAATATAAATTCTATTAATTTAAGTTTTGCTTGCCTTATGTAATGCTCAGACTTTTTTATACAAATTTCAGATAAAGTCAGTAAAACCTTGCTTACTCGAACTCCTGGGGTCTTAATGGGGTCTAGATCAATAGTTTAAACAAATTGTATTCGATGAATCTGGGGTTAGTTAAACTTTGTTATGTTTCGATCAGATGGAAAGGTAGGAAGCTGGAGCTCTGCTCATGTCGCGGATAGTAGATGATAAAAAGTAAAAAGAATTTCAATAAAAACGACAACATTTAAGAATATGTTAAACTGTTCAACACTGAAAGCATACAGCCATCGATAATAAGAACAGAAATGAAGTAAAGAAACTGTATATTTAAAGTACACTGTACCTATCATTTGGGCATAGTCTACCATCTGTATTTAGCCACATTACCTTTAATTTACAGAATATTAAAAAGAGAGGAACTGTTGAATATTTCTAAAAAGAAGAAAATAATTTTGAATCCATGTTATTAGAATGTTAATTGATAATGAAGTTAACAGTCAAAAAGTGATCAAAATGATCATTCTATTGGTAACGGTACAGGTACCTAATGATACTGCTGTTAATCCTCTAATAATCTAATGTCCAGCCGACACTTGTATAAACGCAATGAGTGCAATCTGTCTGTACCTCAAGACACTTCGATGGCATGCAATAGATTTCCTGTTAACTGAATGGATAGGATAGGTACTAAAGACGTGAGCAGTTGGGTATAATCAGAGTTTGAGGAACACAGGGTATTCAAGCAATAGCAGTTGAAGTAATCCAAGGTTACTTTACAAAGAATGTATAAGAACACGGTCAGGGCCAAGTGACCTCTTCATCCAAGGTTACTTTACAAAGAATGTATAAGAACACGGTCAGGGCCAAGTGACCTCTTCATCCAAGGTTACTTTACAAAGAATGTATAAGAACACGGTCAGGGCCAAGTGACCTCTTCATCCAAGGTTACTTTACAAAGAATGTATAAGAACACGGTCAGGGCCAAGTGACCTCTTCATCCAAGGTTACTTTACAAAGAATGTATAAGAACACGGTCAGGGCCAAGTGACCTCTTCATCCAAGGTTACTTTACAAAGAATGTATAAGAACACGGTCAGGGCCAAGTGAACTATTCGACGAATGGAAGGTATCCTAGTAATGCGAGTTCGAGGAAGTAAGGTTCAACGACCGTAGAGCAAAACTTGATTTCTAATTACCAGTTAAATATCTATGAATTTCTGTAAAATGTAAACATAATGTACTTTTCAAACAATTGTGCCCATCTTGCAGTTATATAAATTGTTAATCATTTTGAAAAGGGATTTGATCCCACAAAAAAAAATCCCACATCTGTTATGTAACTATTATGTAAATCATGATACATGTTTTAAGGACTATTCCAGTTGTAAATACAAATGTTTTGGAGGTGGGGTAGGGGGGAAGGGGGATCATTGTTCACATTTGTATAGTGGACCAAAGGAAAAACAGCTGTGGATGGTGGGCAATGAGATACAGTCCCTTCCCCCCTTCCCCACATCATTGTCTGGAATAATCCTACATTTGTAAGTGCTAATAATGTTGTCATTTGTAAATATATTGTGCCATATATATGTATGTTTTACGTCTGTATGTCCTTATTAGTATGAAACAGTCTAAAAAGGGGACTTTAAATTTTTGTAATATGTAGTGTGTTTCAGCAAATATTATCATGGAGAAATTACAACAATAAGATCAATAAACTGACAATCTCTTTGCCAATATTTGAAATTTGGAAAATTTGATTTCTCTTGTTTAACGGTCCTGATCAAGACTAAAAAATTGTTTATCAAATCTAAAAATATGAAGTGAAATCATATTAGAATGGAAAATGAGCTGTTTTGTTGTTTATGTTTGTATATAAACTGTAGTTAAGGTAAAGGGTACCACTGCATCAGTTTGTGTCGTAAGAAGAGTTCCTCTCAGTTTTATTAACATGGAGTATTCTTCCCTTTATATAGAATATGAAGCAACCTAAAGGGTTCGTCTGCTGGATAACCAGACTACTCAGTAGTGAAGCGGACATAAAACCAATCAATTAATCAACCTAAAGGGTTCGTCTGCTGGATTAGCGGACTACTCAGTAGTGAAGCGGACATAAAACCAATCAATCAATCTACCTAAAGGGTTCGTCTGCTGGATTAGCGGACTACTCAGTAGTGAAGCGGACATAAAACCTATCAATCAATCTACCTAAAGGGTTCGTCTGCTGGATAACCAGACTACTCCGTAGTGAAGCGGACATAAAACCTATCAATTAATCTACTTAAAGGGTTCGTCTGACTTTAAAGAGTAACTTTCCCTGTCAGGTTTTTCACAAACTTTGGACACTCATTTTAATGAAGTGATTGTATAACTCCTGTATGGAAACATGGGTAAAAGGTTCTGACTTCGACCCTGCAGTTTTCTTATTTTCTTTTTTTTTTATTACTGTTATTTTTAAACATTCGAATTTCAAATAACTGTAGTTCTGTCAAATGCTTGGCAACATGTGACTTTTATGGAATAGTTCTTTTGGAAAAGTCTTGAAAAGATATTTTACAATAGTGACATTGGTAAGAATATAGCTCACCTGGCTGGTACCCTTTACCTTAATTTAAAAATACTGTCATTCGGATGTTTCTATTTTCTACTTTCTTTCAAACCTGGGGGGAGGTACATCAGAAAAGCATATCATGTATTTTATTAGGTATTATAAAGAACATTGCATGCATTTATTATTTTGACGTTAAATATATGTATGCTCCAAAAAGTGATTGTAACAATTAAGATAAAATAAATTGATTAATTAGCCAAAACTCAGGAGTATTCCGCACACTGTTAAGACTTGTTTAATTTTGTGTGACATGTGACCTTGCGACCAAGTTGATAAAATCATGATTGGCTTAGCAACAGCTTTACGTAATTGTTTTATCTTGTAAGTATGTAAAATCGGGAAATTCTAACTAAAAAAACATATAGATGGATTCAGGAGAATCAAAAAAATATTGGAAATATTTATATTTTCAGATATTTTTAAAAATAAAAATATAAAAAATAAAATGCATTAACAACACATAAGGACATATAGACGGATCCAGGAGAACCAGGGGGGGGGGGGGGGGGGAAAGAAAATACAATGTATTCACATTTTAAGATATTTAACAAAAGACAACAAATGAAAATTTGCATTAAAAACACACCAAGGTAATCAAGTTTAAAAACATATAAGGTTCCAATCATTAAACTATAAAAACAAATCTCTTTTGAGTATGTAGGAGTTTGGCTACATGCAAAAATGAATGCTCCAATCTTTGTAACCTTGCCCAATTTTGATTTGGGTTTTGAAAACTTGATTTAACACATCACCACACATAACCCTTGATTGTAAAGTAATCAAGATAAGATCATAAAAATATTGATGGTAAACACAAAAAAATGATATAAATGCAAGTGTTTTAACAGTGTACTGTTTGCTGAATGAGTGGATGTTCTGCTTGTTAGAGATTTCATTGTGGATATTTTTTCAATCTTGTCCAAATAAACATCAATGTGAACCAAATAATTATTAGTACCGGTACCAACATATTTGTATTAAAGTTTAAAATCAGAAATTGAAATCTTAGTAAATATACATATGGAATTGAAGTAGAACTCTGTTACAAGTAGTATACATGAATTTATTTATTGGCTTAAAATTGTTTCTGGGCCCAGACCAAAATTTAATTTTAAAATTTAACAACAATTTGTGGTACCAGCTTTTAACCTTGTTCTACTAGAAATCCAGTGTTGGGTATTTTATCTTAAATAATTTATTCCTCGATTAGGTCTCTTGTTTTCAATAAAATCTGTCTTTTCTATATTTTGCTCAGATTTTGTTATTTATTCAAGTTGTTGAAGTATTATTTGTGATCAAAAGAAACAAAAGCACACAATAAGATTTGTCCATTTAAATGTCAATACCAGCCTAAGTTTGTCGATAGGAAGGAAAATACATCTGTGTCTTAATTATAGAAAGGATGTCACATGTAATGGGAGCCCAGCTGCCTTGAAGATGGATTTCCCAGGGAGAAAAGAGCAAGGTCGTTGTAGTAATATATTTTTCTTCTGATTTTCTTATGAAATGTCATGGATGTGTTTTTCAACATAAGACATTGTAACATACCAATTATGGTTTCCTTCCTCCGAGGTCAAGGCCATTTATTTTCAGGATATTTTATTGTTTCAAAACAAAGGGATCCGACAATAGGCAAAGCCTATATATAAAACCATTTCAATTAAAATGTTTAAATTCAGGTTACAGCATAAGCGTTCAAACTTAACCCTTTTACCCCTATTTAACTTCATTAAACTCTTCCATGCATTGATTTGGATGAGTCCATTATGGTCTACAGTGGTGAAAGGGTTAACAGGAGACCAATAGACAATCCCCATGACATTCACAGTAGGTCTAGGGGAGTCGATTTCTACAAAGACCAAGTTGTCTATGAAGTTATTTCCTATAATGTATACAATTCAATGATAAGTATATAGTATTGAGAGAAAAACTCCTGTGAAATTACTTGTCTTCCTTTAATATTAAACACATTTTCTTTATTTTACATAAATGAACACTATAAAAGTAAAAATGGTTTTGGTCAAGTCCTGTATTCATTGTTCTCATGCTCAAACTCAGATTCCGTGTTTAAGCCCAATTTCTTGTTTCGGTGATGAATTAATAAAAATCCAAATTTTCTCAATGATTAGGAAGATTTTCGGTGAGAGTAAAAGCCGAATACCATAGAAAATAACACTTGAGCTTTTTGGCAGTGTCACATGATTTAAGCAAATTGCAAGAATTGCAAAAAATTCAAAAATGAGTTGCAATAACGGTTTGAGCACAGAATCCATGCTTGAGCATGGTTTCATGAATGGGCGGACTGGTAGAGTGGAATGGGCGGATTGGTAGAGTGGTTAACACTTTTGCCTTCCACGCAGGCGGACTGGTAGAGTGGTTAACACTTCAGCCTTCCACGCAGGCGACCGTGGTTCAATCCTGAAGTCGTCGTACACATGGAACATTCAGAGAATGTGTTTTTCTCCTGCCCACACAACTCCAGCAACCCTGGTAGAGTATACATTGGTCTGGGGTGGATGTTGGTACGTAACGATGAGGAACCTGAGAATTTGTTACAGCTATATTTGGACCTAAACTAATGTGTTCAGAGTAATTTTACATGTTTTAGGGGTTTAGATCGACTTTTGGTATGCTTAATTAAAGCAATGGGGTGGCATTTTTACCGAAAGTCGATCTAAACACCTTAAACCACATGGACCTGATAATTTGTTACAGCTATATTTGGACCTAAACTGAGGTGTTCAGAGTCACTTTACATGTCTTAGGGGTTTAAATCGACTTTCGGTAAAAAAAAAAGAACACCCCCCCTGATCATAATTATATAGGAGAAGGGAGGAAAGCTCTCGATGTCGAAATGTCGACCCCACCTCACTTTCTTGCATCAAAAACAACATATCTAGTTGATCTACGGGGAAATGCTTAATACCGTTGGAAAGATGGATAATTTTTATTTTAAAACCATCCTAGCTCTATATAGATACACGTAAAGTGTATCTCCTTCCGCGGACATCTCTGTTCTCTGTATCTCTTTCCTCCAAAAGCACACGCCATTTGAGAGTTCGCAGTCAGTCTGCCACTTAATGAGGTTGCTGAAAAATGCAGTGTTGGTTGGCTTTGCCGCCTCTGGAAAGAGTTTTTTCACATCGGGAGACCATACATTTTCTATTCCCCTCATACCCATTCTATAACTGTAGACTAATAGCCACCGACGATAACTTTATTTGGGGGTATAGCCGTGAATTATAGCCACTGACAGTAACGGCATTTATTGTTTGTGGTAAGTCAACTACTAAAAAAAAATCTTTTTGTGAACCGTTTTAAAGTCCGATTTTATTTGAGAGAGAAAGAATTTAAGTCTTATCATGTAGACTGGAAGAAACACATTTTTTTTCAGATTTTCAAAATGACTGCCGAAGCGGTGGTCATTTCTTATAAACGTGTATGATAAGTTGTTTTAAAATATATATATATAGGTTTTTTTAAACATTTTCAGATGCATATATGAACGTTTTAAATCATAGCATTAAAAAAAATGAAAACCTGTTACACTAGATCAAAACAAGGTTCGAACTTATCTTAATGAAATAGATATGGTTAGGATGAGCGTAAAAAGCTCTGGGGCTAGGAAACGTCGTATAGTATTAAAAACAATATTTGATAAAATAAATATCCATATAGACTCTATATGATTTTTGTCAATGACTTGCGTCGAATCCGTTTGCTTGATGTTATCAGAGACGTATAAAGCCATATATGTGTTATATACGTCTCTGATGATACCACGGACTCTGATGATACCACGGACTTAGATAACATCAGAGACGTATAATCTAATCTAATTCCGTGGTTATACATAGACGCATGAAATAAAGTGTATGTTTTGTGTATACTTGACGTAATAGATATAAATAAAATAAAATATTGGTATAACACTGCAGGGGAAACCCCTTTTTTACCCTGGGCATGCCTAGCAGGTGAACACGTCCAAGGATATCTTTCTCACTGACCAGCCTGCATAGATCTACCACGGAAATCGTGAGTACTGATACATTGATGTATATAGCATATACTATTACATGTGGATACATATCTAGTGGTGTGGAGATCTACTAAGAGCTCGGGATCCCGGGGAGTTTCTCATTTAGTCGGCATGGTTGAGAGATTTCCTGACGCATCGATCATTAGATATAAATGCGTCCATTTAAACGTCCGTGGCAGTACGCATTCTAACTAAGTTTTTCATTAAGACACATTTAGATCAGAGACGTATATACGTCTCTGTTTAGATTATGCTTTATTTCTAGCCTAAAACAGGCATATATAACGGTAGTCCTATATGTTGTGAATTAAAATGACATGATGAGTAACTGCTATAAATAGATAGGCCCTTTTTCATATTCTATGCCTATGCAGTGGCGGATCCAGAGGTTTTTTGGGGCTTCAGGAACCCCCCCCCCCTCCACCCTGAGAATTTTCTTTAAAAATCATGTATTTTCACCATTTTCCTCAATTTTTCCCCACATGGAAACCCCCCCAGGAAATTTGGAAACCCCCCCCCGATAGGTCTCTGGATCCGCCACTGCTATGGTTACCTAGGGCATCATGGCCCCTAAAAGGTCTTTCGTTTGTAAAACCAGCACAGTCAAGTACCGCCAGCAAGACAATTTATCATTTTCTACTCCATGCCACCACGGACTTAGATATAGCTTTAGAGAAAATGCTCACTCACAGAGTTACCCCTCTTTGCACGTAATCTCCCGCCATAAGTCAAGTCGTGATGGGGAAATCGTGCCGAAGTCTAAATTGGGGATTGTTGATGGTTTCCGAATTGGCTTATTAAAGTTATTTCCCGATTAACAAACAGCATTTCCAACAGATGAGGTAGAAGTTGTAAGCATTACAGGATTTTCTCTTCTGAAACTGAAATGATGATACGAAAAGGATCGCTTTACTTGTAATATTAAAAAATAGGGGTCTCCTATACTAAAAAACATTTAGTATAGGTCTAAGGAGACCCCTATTTTGTAATATTACAAGTAAAGCGATCCATGCCCCTGTCGATCAGATGCTCTTTTATATCCCTGAGTTTTTTGGCCATCTTATTATATAATAAACTGCAAAAACATTTGGAGATAGATCGAGAGAATAACAAGCAAAGTATACATGCAAGATGTATGTATTATCACGGAATTAGATTATCTAAGTCTGTGGTATTATTTAGTGGAATTAAATTATTACAATACCAACCTATATATGTATAGCTATATACAGTAATTATAATAAACGTCTTAAAGTCATAAATATATCTATCCAAGTCCATGAGCATAGTATGTAAACTTTATCTGAGCATGAGTCAAAGGATTTGCTTCTGGTCCCAACACCAGATGAACAAATTTTGACAGGGACAGGTTGATGTCTGGTGTGGTGCCATACTATACATGCATTTGTCAAAAAGTTTGTAAGTGTTGTTCAGGTCTGGAAATGAAACTATGTAGAGTATCTCAGTGTTAAATTTCAGTTAAGGGCACGAATAAAAACAAAGTAAGTATTTGTTAAATGTTTTACATTGAAAGAACTTTTAAAGAAAATATTATTCCTCTCAGAGTAATAATTGACAGGAAATGTATACTGAATATTTGCTTGTATGTACAATAGCTATAAATTGACCAAAAAGGATGAGATTACAAAATATATTAACATTTCCACTGCAAGTTCCTCTATCTACTAGCATGACCAGAAGAAGTTGCATTCATAGAGCTACTAATGTAATGTGATCAGTGTTGTTTTGAAGCTTCTCCTCCTGCCTCAAATAAAAGTGGTGATGTTGTGGTGTTCCTGTAATCTTGTTTGCACTGACAACATACACACTTAAATATCAAAACATTTAAGGGAATATCTGTATTTAGGTCAATAATAACTATAATTTAGAATGTAAAGATATGGATTGAGCGAAATTTTTAAACAGGACTTCATGGAATATGTATGTAACCAATTGGCATTCATACCAGCATGAAATTGAAAAAGATGCTGTCAAATCCTACATGAACAGCACATAAAAGTAGCACAGAACCCTATGGGATCTGATCAACTGTTTATGAAATAACTCTGACTAATGGTTACAGAAGAGCTTGCATATTTCAACTCCAGTACATACTTTCTACATTTCAGTAATATATGTCTGTTCACCAGAGGATCTCAATGGTTGTTCCCTGTGTCACGACCACTCATCTGACAGAAGACAAATTAGATGAGATTATGGCTGTCCAGGCTGATCAAAATGACTTCACTAGTCACACTACAACTGATTCTAATGGACTGAACATGAGTGTTATTTTAAAGGATGTGATGGACATGGAAAACGAAGTAGAAGAAAGGTAAATATAAAAAAATTATCACTAACACCATCCTCGATAACCAGGGGAAACGCTCAATACGCTCTTTGCACCCCTGGAATATATGTCATAGCAAAAATTGGTGTCAGGTAAAAAAAACTGACCAATCACTAGGCTGATACTTTTCCTTTATAGATAGCAGAGGAGCGACGACTGACTTCAAAGCAAGTAAGCTTTACCGTTAAGCGACCGCAAGGTTCTTTTGATGTACATCAAAGGATCAAAATAGCCTTCTCCCCTCTTCCATAAGACTGTACACACTGAGCCTTCGATTACGCCATGACATAGTCCAGGGGTGCAGAGAATGAAAGTGAACGTAACCCCTGGAGTATTGAGGATGCAATATCACATCCAGCAGCTACCCTGTCTACTAAAATAGTGATGATAAATTTCAGATGTTTGTACAGTGTGTTAAACTTCATACCAAATTTGATGCTATGCAAATACAAAAAAACAAAAGAAGAAAAATTAATCTAATGAGTAGCTTGGGTGCGAAGCATTTTGAAAACATTTGACTGATTTCAGAACCTTTCAAAATTATTACCAAAATTATCTAAAAAATAAATAAAATGGATTGGATGCTCTGACCAGAAAAAGTATAGCGGATGTGTCCATCAGAGGTAGAGTATGTATTGGGTTTAGTATGGTAATCAGCAGCAGCCTAATTACTTTAAAGATCCCCATACTGCTGCCAGAAACTGTAATTAAGTGTTAGAACCTTCTGTTTTTGGCTTGACTAAAGCTTTGATAAATCATATCTGGAAAGAAAACCATACCTTGTTGGTAATAAGAAAGTTAGAATAAACAAAACATAATCAACAACAGTGAAAAGAAACACTGCAGGGCTCGACCCGGATTTGAACCCCGAACTTCAGACTGCTACCTGGTTGGTGGAAGTTAAGGTGAGGTTGCTGAAGATAGGGAAAACCACAGTGCAGTGAGACACGACCCTTAATGGAAAACAAAATTTACCTAATTTCTATTCTTTCTGTGTCTCAAGTTTTCTTTAACTTTCTTAAATCAGAGACATCTTGTTTTCTTTCATTTCAAATTTTGTCATGATACAACCCTTGTCACTCAAACAGTGTAAAAATAGGGTTTATTTTGAAATTATGAAAAGCATGATACACATGTTCCACATTCATGTCTGTAAGGTTATTAATTTGTTAATTGTTACATTGTAACAGGAAAATTAGACAGGAGGCTGAGTTACGGGATCCATCATCATTTGAAGATCTAAAGACGAAATTCTCCAGTAGTAAACATCAGGTGTATCATCATACGGGTGTGAACCTCGAATCAGATGTCGACACCTCAGACCCACTGGACTCAGAATGGGAAGCAAGCATACAGATGCGAAATTGCGCAGACATGGTTCAGACAAGAGATGATGAATATAAAAACAAATTGCTGAGAAATGCAAGGAAACAAAACCAATCACAGTAAGCATTTTAAATCTGTATGACATCAATATATCCACACCAAATGCTGTGAATAATTTGGACTTAAGCAGGTCATTTGTACTGATGAGATTTTAATGTGTCCATGGGAACAGTGTGACAGTGTATACCAGTTAAACTTTAAAAATACATAATAAGTCAAAGGTTGAGTTTATGTAAATATTTTATTTCGAAATTGGCAAAATGGCCTATTCCCATTTTAAGATTTTTCTCTTCATGCCTAATCATCTGGGGCAGAAATTCAGTTAGATACCCAACAAGATTCAAGACATCGCTCTCCTAACATGACACACCTGTGTTTTGCCGGGAGTTGACAGTAGATGAAATGTTGAATCCATCTGTTGTGGCCTCTCAATTTTATCCGCATGCGATTTGTTAAAAAGATGAGAAATCCTGAAAACATGAAGAATAAACTATTTGTCATTTATATACTATAATGTACTACATTATGTTGATCGCCAATCACTGAAAATGGGCTAACTCGGATTCTGACAGCAGCATCACCCAGCCAACTTTTAAAGACATCTTCAAGATATCTCTTTCTCTGACAGACAGAATCAAATACAAAGTTTGCACACAGTAATTATATTGTGTCAAAGTTTTGTGTCAAAGTTCAGTTATCCGGGTTTTCTGGACATCCTTTTTTGAGAAAAAATATTGATGCGCAAAATAGATAAGTAGTTTTTGTGTTGCCTGCAACGCGAGGCGACACATAGGTTATACTTTGTCAGCAGCAGCGGCAATGTCGGTTGCGTGGTCCGAAACAAGGTTTCCGTGCTATAACTTAAGTTATCTGTTTACGCGATAACTCAAGCCAAAACACTTTTCTCACGTAAAGCGCTAAGCAGGCGACACATCCACTCCCGTGGAATTCTTGTTTTCAGTATTTTCAGCTCCAAATAGTACCTGCATAAATTACATAGGTGTGCAGATTTCACAAGTATTTATGGTACTTGCTGTCAAGCTAATTTAGGGGTTAGGGTGCAATGTTGGTTCTAAAAATAAACCTGCTCATTTCATAGACAGAACCAATGCACATTATGCTAGAAATTGATGGTGAGCTATGAAGTTGCTTCAAATAAATGACCCTGATGTGTACTTTGAAGGTCACAGAGGTTAAACATGTCTAAATTGCAAATGACATTTTCTTAAATAAGAAAATGTCATAAGTATAAAGATACAATACTTTAATATGTTATGAGGACCAGCCATGTGCATCTTTTTCTAAGATATTGTGTAGAGGTCAAAGGTCAACTTTAACAGCTGGTCAGGGTCAAATGTCAACATAAGCTATTATGGATAAAAAACTTTAAAAATATCTAAATGTTTGGCATAAAACTACCTGGGGTGAAGTACCATAAACTTTCTCAAATAAATGACATTGGCCTACATTCGAGGCCACTGGGTTTAATATGGTAAAATAAAATTTGTCCTCATTTGAATTGATACTTTATAGAAGCAAGAAAAAATCTAAAAACTCTTGAAAATAATACAAAAAACACAAAAATCAGAAATAAAGTGTTAAAAATTATATTTGTACATGTTATTACGAAGTATCAGATAACCGCTTAAATAATCAGTACAAAAATGTACCTTTGACTTTTGTTCCTCAAAAGATTGAAAAAATGTCCTAATTTCGTAACCATAGGACAAGACAAGGGATAACGTATGATATTGACTTTATAATTTCTCAAAGTTCCAAAATGCTAAAAGCAAACAGTGTTTGTTGGTCTTCATATGAGTTTGAGCAGCTGTCAGATCAAACATTAAAAATAAAATCTTGCAATGGCAGAATACAACACTCAAAACTCCACCAAATCCAAGGCATGGTAAAAAGGCTTCAAAATTACATGTTTATTTAAGATTAAAATAAATATGTAGTTGGCTTGTGGTACATCTGAATGTTTTAGTGACTTACAATAATAGGGATTGTGTAGAGGGTACAGATATGTGGATGTGTTATGCATAGTACCCATCCATAGAAGTTACATTAAATTTACTGAATTACGTCGCGTATCAGCTTTAATTTGAAAAAGGGCACAAAATCAATAAAACTGTTAACTGTTAAAATAAACTCAAAAACGTTCCTCTTAACAGATGACACCTTTTAAACATATGCAGTAGTTATAAAACCTTGCCATCTGCTGGATGTCAAAATTTACATTGTACATGTACTATCATACAAGACTGTTTCATAACGTACCTTCTTCTAGAGCTGTGCCTTGGACATCAGATCATGCTGCTCCTTTGAAGGACATAACACCTGTACAGGAACTTGGGAAGAGACATAGAGTGACAGTGTTTGAGAATGCAACAACCAAGTCACTATTCGTGCAGAAACAGGTAAATAATTGTGATGGAGTAATTTGTAATGCTTTATATTTTTAGCCCTATTCAAATCACCCTGTGTCCGTGGTCCGTGGTCCGTCCGTTGTCCGTCGTCCGTCCGTAAACAATTCTTGTTATCGGTATTTCTCAGAAGTACCAGAGGGATCTTTCACAAATTTTAAATGTAGGTTCCCCTTGGTCCTTAGCTGTGCAGGGCAACTTTTGAGACTGATCGGATAAACAACATGGCCGACAGGCAGCCATCTTTGATTTTGATATTGAAAGTTTGTTATCCCTATTTCTCGGGAAGTATCAGAGGGATCTTTCTCACATTTTATATGTAGGTTCTCCTTGGTCCTAAGCTGTGCAGGGCATTTTTTATAGACTGATCGGATAAACAACATAGCCGACAGGCAGCAATCTTGGATTTTGAGGTTGAAAGTTTGTTATCCCTATTTCTCGGGAAGTATCAGAGGGATCTTTCTCACATTTTATATGTAGGTTCCCCTTGGTCCTTAGCTGTGCCGGGCAACTTTTGAGACTGATCGGATAAACAACATGGTCGACAGGCAGCAATCTTGGATTTTGATATTGAAAGTTTGTTACCGCTATTTCTCAAGAAGTACCAGAGGGATCTTTCTCACATTTTATATGTAGGTTCTCCTTGGTCCTAAGCTGTGCAGGGCATTTTTTATAGACTGATCGGATAAACAACATGGCCGACAGGCAGCAATCTTGGATTTTGATATTGAAAGTTTGTTATCCCTATTTCTCGGGAAGTATCAGAGGGATCTTTCTCACATTTTATATGTAGGTTCCCCTTGGTCCTGAGCTGTATAGGGCAACTTTTGAGATTGATCAGATAAACAACATGGCCGACAGGTAGTCATCTTGGATTTTGATAGTGTGGGTTTGTTACCGCTATTTCTCCGGAAGAACTAGAGGGATCTTTCTTAAATTTTATATGTAGGTTCCCCTTGGTCCTAGCTGTGCAGGGCAATTTTAGAGACTGATCGGATAAACAACATGGCCGACAGGCAGCCATCTTGGATTTTGATAGTGAAAGTTTGTTATCGCTATTTCTCGGGAAGTACGGGAGGGATCTTTCTCAAATTTTAAATGTAGGTTCCCCTTGATCCCTCGTTGTGTATGTTATATTTTGAGACTGATCATAAAAACAAAATGGATTAAAAGAAGAACTAAACAGATCTTTCTCATATTGCAATGAACGATTCTATTTCTTTCACATTAAGTACTGTACTAGTAAATATGTGAAATGACAAACTCACTTTGAAGGTTGGCTTTCATACACATCAGTATTAAGTTTAGATCAAAAGTTACCACAAGGTGCATTTACTGTTAACATGACTCGATCAAACAGATTAGAGGAAAGAAGAGAAAAGATCGAACTGACAAAGAACTTATGAAGATGGTACAAAGGTGGGCGCCAAGATCCCTCTAGGATCTCTTGTTTATATATTAATCCAGGTGTATTTAATGATTTAAGTGTCATGGGATTAATTTCTTGGTCCAATATGTATAGCTTTCAATAATACCAGGGAAGCTTTTATTAGACCACAGAATCTATTGAAATCTGTGGTTAGATCAACCTAGTCAATTACAAAAAAAATTGTTCAACATCTTCAGTCATTTTGTCATAACATCACAGATAATTAAAATACATGGTACATTTATGTATCATGTGTATAGTTTAATATTTTATAGTTTCTATTGTCAGGCCGCAGAATCACAAAACATCTATACTGTGGTAATGTTCTTAATTCTTATTGAAATCAGGTTAATTTGAAGTGCTAAATATCCTCAAACATTATATGAGCTCAGGGGAAGATGCAGGATTTTGGTAAGGGGAGAGCAACGTAACAATATTATATAATAAATCAAGACATGGAACCCTTCCCCAATTCCCCCCCATGCATACACATTCTCTCTCTGAGGGTACCCCCCCCCTTTGTATGCACTTCTTAAATTATTTATTAAATAAAAATACATGCATTAATTCCAGTCTACTCAGCTGTGGGAATGAGAATGTGGTTGGGCAGTGCTGGAATTGTTGAATGCTCTCTATGAACGCTTAATTGCAGCACCGTCTGTATGCTCCCTAGGGAGTTGAGAAAGATATTGGCTGGTTGCCGAAGGCCTATAACCATGGATAATAATTTGTGAACCCCTTCGAGACGACCTAGGTTGTGGTAAAGCAATATATAAGATTACCTCAAACTGTTAAAAATTTATTATTACTAATACATTACTATAAGGTCACAGAAACAATCAGATATGACATCATGATGCAAGAGGATGTGCAAATCAGGATAACGAACTGATAACAAAAGCTGAAAACTATTGTTTTTAAACATTTGAATAATAGGAGAAAACAATCATGCCCTACCTTGAGAGTGAGAGAAATCTCTCTTCTACAGGTAAAAAGTTTACCTCCAATCACTATACTGTCACTCTAACCAACTGATCAACCTTGTCAATGGTAGCACACTGACCCAATCACACTACAGGAATAGCCAATACAAAATTAAGGGGAGGTAACTAGTCAATGGTAGCACCCTGGCCCAGTCACACTACATGAATAGCCAATACAAAATTAAGGGGAGGTAACTAGTCAATAGATGCACACTGACTCAATCACACTACAGGAATAGCCAATACAAAATTAAGGGGAGGTAACTAGTCAATGGTAGCACCCTGACCCAATCTCACTACAGGAATAGCCAATACAAAATTAAGGGGAGGCAACTGGTCAATGGAAGCACCCTGGCCCAGTCACACTACAGGAATAGCCAATACAAAATTAAGAGGAGGTAACTAGTCAACGGTAGCACCCTTGTCCAATCACACTACAGGAATAGCCAATCGAAATTAAGGGGAGGTAACTAGTCAACGGTAGCACCCTGGCCCAGTCACACTACAGGAATAGCCAATACAAATTAAGGGAAGGTTACTAGTCAATGACAACACACTGACCCAATCTCACTACAGGAATAGCCAATACAAAATTAAAGGGAGGTAACTAGTCAACGGTAGCACCCTGGCCAAGTCACACTACAGGAATAGCCAATACAAAATAAGGGGAGGTTACTAGTCAATGGCAACACACTGACCCAATCTCACTACAGGAATAGCCAATACAAAATTAATGGGAGGTAACTAGTCAACGGTAGCACCCTGGCCAAGTCACACTACAGGAATAGCCAATACAAAATAAGGGGAGGTTACTAGTCAATGGCAACACACTGACCCAATCTCACTACAGGAATAGCCAATACAAAATTAAGGGGAGGTAACTGGTCAATGGTAGCACCCTGGTCCAGTCACACTACAGGAATAGCCAATACAAAATAAGGGGAGGTAACTAGTCAATGGTAGCACCCTGGCCCAGTCACACTACAGGAATAGCCAATACAAAATAAGGGAAGGTAACTGCATGTAGGAAATAAACCACAGTGGAACTATCTAGTGTTTTGCCTGCATTACAGTAGCACATGAATTCTAAAGAACCTTCTGTGAGAACCTTTGAAGCTGTGTGATACCAGGACTAGATGTAAGTCATTAAATTCAACAAGGCAACGAAATGTATACCTCACCATATCTCCACATTAGTGTGTATCAATTTTAATGGAATAATTGATTATAATAATGTTATAGGTAATTGTATAAATCATGAAATATACAATATCTATATAAGAATTAATCTTTTTCAGTACTTGGAAAAACCCAATGAGAGAGAAATTGAGGTTTTGAGAGCTATGAAGCATCGCAATATTCCTACCCTTTATAATACAGGGATGCAGGGAAATAGTACCATTCTGCAGATGGAGTACTGTGGTGAGTTAGTTGCTTACTGTCATAAATGTAAATAGATGTATTTCAATCCTTTAGGATACCTGTACCACTGCCAAAAATGAACTATGCTTTGGAAACTGGTTTTAATCATTTCTGAAAAGAGAACCCTTGCAGGAATTTTTAAAGAAAAAAAGAGGCGAATTATACAAATAAAACACTAACAATAGGGATCTGAGCGTAAAAACACATGGGACTAGAGCGGAATTCAAACACTGGATCTCAAATTATTGTATCTTCACTCTAACTGAATAAGCTACCTGGCCAACAGAAGTATCTTGGCCTAGCTGTGCTACAGATATATATCCTCAACAGAATTAAGGGGAGGTTACTGTAAGTGTAGGGTTTTGCCTGCAATGCAGCAAGGATATTTAAAAGAGAATATTTGTTTCAAAGTACCATAGGAAGATTACTCTTAGTAACATATATTGCCATTTCAACACATTAGTAGGTGTTATCTATATTAAATAGCATGTTATCAATATTAAACATACTATGACAAAAAGGTTAAATGAAGGAGTCAGTTAGGTAATTAATTGGTCATGTGGAAGGTGGGGTGGGGGGAGGGCATGATTCTATTTTCTTGATACTGTTTCGCTATTTCAGGTGAACCTCTGGCTAAGTATGTTGAGAAGAACTTCAACAAGGGCAGGTATGTTCCAGAAACATTTATGTGGAATATCCTGGAGCAAATAATGGATCTGCTTAGATTCCTTGAGTATTCCAAAGTTGTGCATCAGAACATCTCGGGTAAGTTACATGCTTCCTTTTCCAGTTTGGAAACGGTAGCGTGCCATTTATCAGAACAAATCAGCAATATCACAAGTAATACATCTGACTTATCAGGAATATCACAAGTAATACATCTGACTTATCAGGAATATCACAAGTAATACATCTGACTTATCAGGAATATCACAAGTAATACATCTGACTTATCAGGAATATCACAAGTAATACATCTGACTTATCAGGAATATCACAAGTAATACATCTGACTTATCAGGAATATCACAAGTAATACATCTGACTTATCAGGAATATCACAAGTAATACATCTGACTTATCAGGAATATCACAAGTAATACATCTGAACATCCCTCTTTCCCCATGATAAATGAAAAATTCAAATTAATGTCAATAAGAGCATTCCAAGCAGAAAAAACCCACCTCAAAACACATGAATCTGAACTGTCTCCACCAACCTATAGCAGTGATATGAAATCAGATGGTCTTGATTTTCTTGTATTCATATCTAAAACTTCCCCTAACAACTGGTACATATGTAACCAACCTTTGAGAAACTGGGGCTTGGTGTATGTCTGAGGGTTTAGTGTACTATTACTACAGTATAAACAGCTAAGGTAATTTAAGAATGTGCCTCCATGTGTGTAATGTATGTGTGCTGGAGACGGGGTATATTGGTGTATGTGCCTACCTGCAATAGCATGGATCTGGTGCTGACTTTATAGCGCTACCTCATGAAATACCATGCCGAAGGCACTCAGCACAGCATTATGCCCGGTCACATTTTACTATCAATGGGTGAACCAGTTGTGGCTATTGCCGTAAATGTTAAATCTTAAGCAGCGAATATCAACTACAATTTTTAGCTCACCTCGCCCGAAGGGCCATGTGAGCTTATGGCATACCGCAGCATCCGTCGTCCATCGTCTTTCGTCTGTCGTCCGTCCAGGGGCCTGAGGGGCAGGGCCAAATAGGTAAAAAATAGAGTCATCTTTAAAAACAAAAATCTCTACTCCTTTAAGTAACAGAGAGTAATGGCACATTTAATTATAATCATCAACTAGCCCTCTTTTGGATATATGAAATTTATGGCCCTGGGGTCAAGGGGTCAAGTGGTAAAGTGGGGTCAATATTGTATGTTATGGATCGTTGAGATCCCCACCCCATAACCATATATAATATTGCTGGTCATCAAGAGATAAACACAAGCATAATGTAAAAATAGGCTCTGGGGTCTTTCCCCACCCCTAGGGACTTAGTTTCTGGGTTATTTCTTTGAAACAGTTGAGATCCCCACCCGATAACCATATAATCAATTGCTGAGTATAAGAAAACGAATGCACATATGATTCCAGGATGGCCCTAGGGTCTACCCCACCCTGGGAGACTTGACCCCTGGGTCATAACTTTGAAAGGAAAAAGATCCCCACCCCAAAACGTTATATACAAATGCTGCGCACGAGGAGACGCCACAACCCTTGCAGACTTAACCCCTGGGTCTCAACTTTGAAACGGTTGAGATCCCCAACCCAAAAGGATATATACAAATGCTGGGCATAAAGAGTCGAATACAGTCATGATATTATAATTGATCCTTGGGTCTTGCCACAACCCTAGGGACCTAGTTTCTGAGTCACAGCTTGAAAACAGTTGAGATCCTGACCCCATAATATAACCATACATAAAATTGCTGGGCATGAAAAATCTAATACAGATATCCAGGTGAGCGATACAGACCCTCTGGGCCTCTTGTTAAGATATTTGGTATGTCCTGGCTACGGGACAGAATCAAATAGATAAAAATGTCTATTTAATCAAAGTCATGATATAGCTCTAGTGTATGAATACATCATAAAGCTACAGAAAGTTAGACCAAACGAAAAACATGTTTGTTTCCTGATACATGACTGAACAAATTATATTAGGAAGGTAGTTAATACATTTTAATTATCAGTTTTATTAGCTCACCTGGCCCGAAGGGCCATGTGTGCTTATGCCGTACTGCGGCGTACGTCGTCCGGTGTCCTGCATTCGTCCTCCGTCAGTCAACTTTTTCTTTTGAACGACTTCTTCTGAAGAACTAGAGGACCTAGGGTCATGATATTTGGCCAGTAGATACCTGGGATGAAGTATAAACATTCCTCATTAAAATGACCTTGATCTACCCTCAAGGTCACAGGGGTCAAATATGTTAAAAACCTCAAACAATAGTATCCCAAGAACCATTTGGACAAGAGTCATGATACTTGGGTATGTTATGTAGACCAGTAGTGCGAATATTTTCCTCAATTACAGTAATGAGGTCAAAGGTCAACTTTAAATGCTAGTCAGGGGTCAAATGTCAACTTTGGTTAAAAGCTTTAACAATCTTCTTCTTAAGTTCCATTAGGCCCAGTGTCATGATATTTAGCCAGTAGGTACCTGGGATGGAGTGCTATAAAGCTTCCTTATTAAAATGACCTTGACCTACTTGCAAGGTCACTGGGGTCAAATATGTTAAAAACTTCAAACAACAATATCCAAAGAACCATTTGGACTAGAGTCATGATACTTGGGTATGTTATGTAGACCAGCAGTGCAAATCTTTTTCTCAATTACAGTAATGAGGTCAAAGTTCAACTTTAAGTGCAAGTCGGGGTCAAAGGTCAACATAGGTCAAAGGCTTTAACAATCTTCTTCTCAAATTCCATAAGGCTCAGGGTCATGATATTTGGCCAGTACGTACCTGGGATGAAGTGCTATAAAGTTTCCTCATTAAAATTACCTTGACCTACTTTCAAGGTCAAGGGGGTCAAATATGTTAAAAACTTCAAACAACAACATCCTAAGAACAATTTGGACTAGAGTCATCATACTTGGGTATGTTATGTAGACCAGCTGTGTGAATTGTCTTCTTCATTACAGTAATGAGGTCAAAGGTCAACTTTAACTGCAAATCAGGATTCAAAGGTCAATATGGGTTAAAATTTTAAGTTTCAAACAACAATATCTTCAGAACCGTTTAAGAGATGTTAAAATGTCTTGTGTTCTAGTTACCAAATTTGGTCTTAAGTTACCTATATGTCAGTTGCATGTAACAAAAGAAACAGGTGAGCGATACAGGCACTCTGGGCCTCTTGTTATATTGGAAAGTGATCTTGACTTTAACAAAGGTTCCTTGAAAAATTGCCAAAAAAGTTCAGGGTAGGCATGAAAAATAAGGGTAGTTACGATAACAGGAAACAAACAACATTTTTTATTTATGGGCCTATTGATCGAGTGGTTAACACTTCAGCCTTCCAGGCTTTGGTTCGAAACCCGAAGTCGTCGTACGTATGGAATATTCAGAGAAAGTGTTTTTCTCCTGCCCACACAACTCCAACAACCCAGGTGGAGTATGAAATGGTCTGGGGTGGATGTTGCGGTATCTGTGCTGTAGCATTCAAATGTGGTTGCACTATAAATGATGCCATTGGAAGCACAGTCCCACTACAAACAGAACACAATACATCTCCAGCACACACAGTCATACACACATATGGAGATATTAGCCAGGTGGCAGAGGACTAGTAGCAAGCACTTGATAAGGCAGCTTCTGCAAATTCCTCAAAAATTGTGTTGATTGTTGTATATGCTAATTAGTCCCCCACCGGTTCCCGGTGGGACTTAAGGTTTGCACTCCTGCCTCCCGTCCTTCTATCAAAAAAGTTTGTCTGGGGCATATCTTCTATACCATTTCACCTGGAGTAACCAGATTAGGTAAACAAGGATATCTTGGGATGACGAGTGTAAGAAATAGGTCACTATGACCTCACTGTGACCTATGCTTTGAACAATAGTTACATCCTGACAAAAGTGTGGCCTTTGTTAAATATAGAAATCATTACCGGTGGGGGACTATTAATTGTTTGCCATACTTTGCCTTTTTGTATTAATTGTATATCTATGTACTGTAAAGCACTTTAGAGGCTTATTCTAGCTAGATAGGGCGCTACATCAAATGTTGTATATTATTATTATTATTATTATTTGGCCTTGGAGGGTCCTGTACCTCATAGCTCTAAACCATTGATTTCTGGACATTCTTGTCTGAGGTGCAGCAATGTAAAATGATGGAGTTTTGGTTTCTTTGTGTAATGCATTGAGCACAATAAGAATGTCAATTTAAGCATAAAACTGATATTCCTGTTAAGTAAATTTCACAACTAGAGGCAGATTATCTTAACCAAGACCTAGATAGAATTAACAACTGGGCTAGTACATGGGACATTAAATTTAACCCCTCTAAAACCAAATCACTAATTTTTTCAAGCAAAAAAGAACCTATCCATCCTCTAATTAATTTCTCTAATACTTGTGTAGATAATGCCCATGATCACAAACATCTTGGATTAACTTTTTCTGAAGATGGCACTTGGTCTACCAATGTTCAATTAATATATGAAAAGGCTAGTAAAAGAATAACAATACTTAAGTATCTGAAATATAAGATTGATAGGAAATCACTATGCAAAATATATACAACATTTATCCGTCCAATGCTTGAATATGCAGATATTCTCTGGGGCAATGCTCTGACAATCTTCAAAATTTATTAGATTCTGTACAACTAGAAGCTGCAAGGATTATCACAGGTCTAAGGAAAGGTACATCACACCAAACTCTGTATAAAGAACTAGGCTGGAAATCTGTCTGATCGAAGGATGAACCATAAGTTAATTCAGATGTATAAAATAACTAACAATTTATCACCCACATACCTCCATGACATAATTGATCCTCTTATTCATAACCCAGAAAATGATAGGTATACTATAAGAAATGTAAGAATGTTTAACCCACCACTATGTCGTACAGAATCCTATGCTAAAAGCTTCTTCCCAGTAATGTGCAACAAGTTCAATGGACTTCAAAATGATATAGTACATTCCCTTACTCTTAATAAATTTAAGGCCAAGGTGTATAATAAAATATGTTTTAATAATGATATCTCAGATTATTTAAAAATTGTGAAAGCAGAAAGGGTAACATAATCTTATGTCAACTGAGAAATGAGGCGAGTAACCTGAACTATGATCTGTTCAAATATCACTTGAAAGAGTCTCCATCTTGTCTGTGTGGTGATGATTATGAAACTGCTACCCATTATCTTTTACAATGTCCAATGTAAACTGATGAAAGACAAACTTTAATAAATGAGATTTTTGAAGTGTGTCCGTTTAATCTTGATACTAAAATATTTCTTAATGGAAGCACTATGTTAAACAATACTGAAAATAAATCTATACTTGACAGTGTTCTTAAATATATATACAACACAAGAAGACTTGTGTAATTAATCAAATCAATCTATACATTTTGTTATACTGTCTGTATATAGTCATAATTGATAAAATACTGTCCTTAAACCATTATGTGATTCTACTGATTGTTATATATACATTGATGTTTTAATATTATACACCTAAAGGATTAAGCTTTGGGTGCTGTTTTTACTGATGGGTGCATTAAAGTAAAACATAAATGTGCTAAGTTTGAATGCTTAGTGTTCTGTGGATGCATCTGGATTCTTCTCGAGTGGATGATATGTGAACGGTAGAAGCCGTTAGAGACTTTTTGTCTGAAACTCGATGGGATGAAAGATTTACACATAGAACACTGGCAATACATCTTACACTTACACTACATTTTCAAAATCTTCTAGCTGAATTGCCTCATTTTATTTTTTATATTTTGATGTTGTTGTATCCGTTACTTTTTATCACTCCTACCAATGATATATATTGATACTAAACGGTTCTATACTTTGTGTAACAGCAGCAGGGTATGAACAGGGGGCATTAATGACTTGCAAAAAATACAATTGTAGCAATTTCTCTGTTTAATATATCATTAGGGCATTGCTTTCCTATTACTAATTAATTATGATTGACTTTTTAATAGGAGTATTGTATAGCTAAAAATATCAATTAAATATTTATATGTAATTGAAACATACATGGAATTATCTCCCCTATACCATCTGCAATATATAGACTGGGGATCTATGCTACTTATTATATATAATTTGCATCAATATTTTCTTACTAACCGTTTTATATTTGTCTTTGTCATGTCAACCTAAGGAGAGAACTTATATAGACCTAGCCTGCTGTTCAATCCTATTGTTTACTCAATAAAATATGATGAAATGAAGTTAATTTCAAAATGAATTACATATATATTTTGGTACTGTTCCTATAACATTCATCAAATTCATCTTACTTAGTCATCAATCTAAAGCCTAGGAAACTAACACAATACAATTACATTACTTAAGTGAAATAAATATGGGGTGGACTTATTAGCAAGCATGGGCTTATTAAATGTGGAAAAGGACATATATATGAGCACATAATCAGCTGTAAAGTAAATCATTTTTTGTTGACTTGTTGATATTTTTTATCATTAGCTGAGACAATATGCCTCCTACATACACGGAAGGGACTGGTTGTGAAGCTGGTGGGGTTTGGAAATGTGCTGACATACCAGGATCTTGTCCCACAGTCAGGGATACAGAGTACAGCTGCACTCGGAGGGACAGTTCAGTACTGTGAGGCAGATGATCTGGCAAAAAGGACCCTAACTCTGTCAGGCAGAAGTCTTTTGGGGATGCAGTGGTCTTCAGAGGCATCACTGACAGATGATATGGTCCCATGGGCAGGGGCACAGAGGGGGAAGAGTTCCAGTGGTTCTGACAAGGCCTCGAGGCCGTCATGTCAGGCAGACATGGTTGCATCTGGCAGGGTGGCCTTGTTTATGGTGTATGGACCTGGAGTTAAGGTAAGTTGTGTAGACTATTTTTTCGATTATAAGTAGCATACAAGACCAAAACTTGTTTCTATTAATAAATGGAAAACATGCATGGTATTTCCTTTCATGTTCTACTAAAGACAAAATTACTGCACTGAAAAATACACTTTTTAAATCTCATTTGAAGCTAATCTCACTATGGTTTGCTCAGCATGTTTCCTTTTCCTTTGAATACTTATTGTCCAGAATGCATGGCCTTTTGAACAATCATGAAGCATCCCTGATCCAGGGAATTCATTTATGTATGAATTAAGGATGTGCCCCATATGTTTAAAGTGGCTTTGGTCCAGTTTTGTAAGGTCATTTAAGGACATGTCTCCATGTGTGCAATGTATTCATGCATGTGTGTGGTAGTGTGTGTGTGTATGTGTGTGTGTGCTGAAGGAAGGGTATTTATGATGTAATTGGACCCCAGTGATAGCACAGTTCTGATGCTGACTCTGTAGTGCTACCTCACTGAAATACCATGTGCCAATAGGAGAAAAAGGGGCACATTTAAAAAAACTAAACATTAAGCCTAGATGGATAAATTTTGACTTAATTTGGTTTGAACTTAACCTAGGAAAGGTAGGGCCTCCCTTGGGACAGAGGGAAAGGACTCTCTTGGGGAATTAGGGATACAGCTGGACACTTCCAACATTTACACTTCATTGTAACCTTGAACTAAAAAGTTGATGTGACCTTGACATTGAAGGTTTCCAAAAGTAGTCCTTGTTTCAGAAATTAAAGCTTGGTTTGAAAATTACAGTGCGCACAAGATCTAACCAGACTGTTTTATAGCTTTGTATATATATGATTGGGGACCTTTCTTCTTTGCAGGATCTGAGTGACAAATGTTTTCCAAACAGTAGTGATTTGAAGGATTTTGTCCTGAAGATGGTTGATTTAAATCCTCAGACAGGATTAAAACCAGCTGCAGGCCTGGACATAATTCAAAAGAAACGTGAGTTGTACCTATACATCCGTATATATTCTGTATGCATTTGAAATTTAAACATATTCACAAAACAAATTCAAAAATGAATATATATTAGTTTTGTTTCGATCAAACAACTTACATGTTTGGTTTGTAGCGGCATTCCAAATGTACATTCGGATACTTTTACCCATGCTTTAACAAAGTTGGGGGTAAATAATATTTGCTTCATCCATGCTGGTTGTAATTTCCAGAGCCTATCTCAGTCACTATTTCACAAATGTTTTCATAAACTTTGTATATAGGTACATTATGGGAAGTGTATCACATCCTAAAACTAGGTCCCTGTGACCTCAAGTACTAAAACAATGGTTTCTGTAGCGATAGTCGGCTACTGCTTCATAAATGGGCGTCACACTTTGTACATAGGTACATAATTGGAAGTTGACCTCTATTTGAACTTTGACCTCAGATACTAAAATATTGGTTTACCGAGCAAATCTCATCACTGTTTCATGACTTTGCACCAAACTTTATAGATAAAGTTAAATCATGGGAAGGCGGTGTACTTTTGTTAATAAAAAAAGAAGTAACTGTGACCTCAATTTAACCTTCTCAAATATTAAAATAATGGTTTTAGGGATTATCTCAGCTGCTGTTTCATTAATGGGCATCACACTTTATAGATATAGGTAATCGTGAGAAGGTGGTGTGGTGCGTGTATCCTAAAACAAGGCAACTATGACCTCAAGTACTAAAATAGTGTAATACAAGTATTTGCAGCAGCACATCTCGGAAGATGTTTCATGAATGGGCTCCAAACTTTTGTAGATATGCATAGAGAAGTATTATCTTTGAAGCACACCCTTTGAGATAAATCTGGTTACAATATTTAATGTGTATTATGTATGTAGGTGGAAAGAAAACCTGTTGTTTTTGTGGTGTATCAAACCATTCTAAAAAAAGATATAATAATAAAATATTTATGAAAGAGCATTTAACTTTCAATCAAGAATAATATCAATCTAATACACAAATGATGAATTACACAATACACAATACATCTCCAGCACACACACAGGCATACACACATAGGGAGATATTAGCCAGGTGGCATATGACTAGTAGTTAGCGCCTGATAAGGCAGCTCCTGTGAATTCCTCAATATTGTATTGTTTAATATATATGCTGATTGTATTGACTGTATAAAATTGTATATCTATGTACTGTAAAGCGCTTTAGAGTGGCTTATGTTAGCTATATAGGGCGCTATATCAAATGTTGTACATTATTATCATTATTACATAATACAATTTGTATACATGTTTATTAACAGTATCGCAGGACGTGATAGAGCTATCGGACAGTGATGAAGTTATAGAGCTACCGGACAGTGATGAAGCTATAGAGCTGTCAGGCAGTGATGAAGCTATAGAGCTGTCAGGCAGTTGGGAAGGAGCTGTTGAACCTTCCACTAATGAAGTCACTGCCTATCCGACGATTTCTGTCTCCACGCCACTTACGACACCATTGCAGCAGGAAACATTTTCCTTCCGGAAAAATGGTGATTCAAGGGATCTACCGCTCATCACTCCTCCAACGTACCAGCCTACAAGTAAATCAAATATCCTTACTCCCTCCAGTCGTGTTGAACTTCAGGCCGCCAATGCCAGCTCCTCCCTGGTTGGTACTGCAGGCACAGTAGGCAGCAGCATTGATCGTCCAGATGATGTTATCTCCGTGAACCCTGGATCAAGTTTGTACAAAGAGCCGGATAAAGAGACACCACGAAAAGATATGACCCAATCACAAGCTGATAAAGGAACTCTTAACAAGCTCCGGTCACGTGTAACGTGGAACAAAGGATCTAGAGACAAACCCTACATTCGGCCTCAAACAAAGTTCACAAATCTGCCTAACTTTGAAAAATTAGAGTAGAAGTAACAAGGTGGAATTCTAGAAAATTGCTGATATGGTTTTGCCCACAGATTTCTTGAAAAGAACCGATATGTGTACTGGCCTCCTGGGTTGGACAAGTATAGAAGGATATATAGATACCAAAAAGTTATTATTTTTCGGTAGGATATGTAGATTACATAGTACGACACTCTCGTCTCGTATACTATTTACAATAATTTTTATTGTAAATCTGGATGCAGAAAATAATGTCAGGTATGGTTTTGCGTATGATATCCCAAGGATTCTAAGAAAATATAATTTATATGATCTGGTTCAGAAGTATATAAATAAGGGATGGTTTCCTCTTAAAACATGTTGGAAAATGCAGGTTAAAAATGCTGTGCATGGATATGAAGAAAAAGTATGGTTAAATAGGATGTGTAACAATACTGACTTCTTTAGGTTTGTTTTAATTCATGGCAAGTTAGTTCCACACCAGCTGTGGAAATTATGTAAAAAGTTCCCAGGAAATAGAGAAGCTGTTAATTATTACATAATGAAATTAATTGTTACCATGAGGTGGTTGGCTCATAATGAATTATGTCATGAATGTGGTCAGTTTTATGAAGATGTTGCCATCCACATAGTTCTGCAGTGTAGTTCTACTGACGAATTAAGGGACGAATTATGGTGTAATATCATTAATATTAGCGATATACTGTTCAGTGTATATTTGCACGACTTAAACGAAAGTCAATTATTTCATGTTCTGATCGGGGAGAATTTTTCTTACAATTTGTGTAACTCAGACCTAGAAGAGTTCCGTATGACGTCTGTGAAACTATTTTTTTTGAATGATAATATCATATTACAAATGACACATTTACTATATCTATGCTGATTATTGTCAAATAATCAAAAGGGCCTGATACTGCTAGCTTAAATTATATACCCTAATATTTTAACAACATAAATTTATTGTAATATATATGTATAATAATTTTGATAATTGATGTTTAATTGATGATTGTATTGCTCTATCATTATAATCTTCATTCTGGAGGAAATAAAGGAGTATATAGTTAGTTATGTACACATTAAAGTAACGATACCCTTGTACTCTTTCAATGTCCATGTATGTATATATGTTGATTAATTCTTATATATGTAACTATTCTGTTTATGTAATCTTCATTTTGGAGGAAATAAAGGGAATAAATAGGAGTGTATTGATAAACGGAAGTAGGAAGTACATCCCTAGTTGAAAATCCATTGTAGGGAGACAGTATCACAATTTCCACATATTCTAATGTTTAGTATCAAACTGATGAACATTGTATGTTTATTATTGACAGAACAGTGTGTTCTCTCAATATTAAAGTATTTCAAAGCAATTCAGGCATTAATTCAGTGGGTTTTTTTATCGATGAGTCAAATGTGTCCATTTTTCTGTACTACAGGAAATCAGCTACTGTGAATTTTTTCAAGAAAGATAACTCTTCCATGCAATTACTATGTGTATATGGTTTTATTATAAAGCGTCAATTTTTAATTGTTTATAAATAATTTATTTTACACAATTTCAGCATTTATTAAATTGATGTACATTAATGCAATACTAATCTGTGGCAGTATCATTTTTATTGACATTATTTTGCAAAAAATTGTGTCTTTCAGTTTTTTTCAAAATTCACTCCTTTTTACGTAAATTTCCATTTAAAATCCTTAAAATTCTGACAACCTATATTTTGTTTATGGCAGAAAAGCAATATAACTACAAAATTCGAAGAAATTCTACAGAGAAATGGTGACACAATCCTATTACCTTAAGTACTTTATGCTAAAAGGATCGATATGAGAAAAAAACAAAAATCACCATTTAAATAAAAAAAAACACTGCAATGCACCACTTTAACATAGCCTGCACTTAGTAAATCAAATAAATCCATTTTTAGCTCACCTGGTCCGAAGGACCTTAGTGAGCTTATGCCGTTGTGCAGCGTCCGTCGTCCGTTGTCGTCCATCGTCAACTTTTTCTTTAAAACCTATCTCCTCCTAAACGCCAAACAGGATTTCAACCAAATTTAGTCTGAAGCATCACTAGGCCTAGGGTGGCCAATCGTTTCTTAAATAAATGAGGTTGGTTCGACCCCTGGGGCCAGAGGGGCGGGGCCCTTAAGGGGAACTTAGCTAAATTTACTTTAAAACGCATCTCCTCCTTAACGCCAGTGAGGATTTCAACCAAATGTGGTCTAAAGCATCACTAGGGGAGGGCAATCATTTTTTAAATAAATGAGGTTGGTTCGGCCCATGAGGCCAGGGAGGCGGGGCCCTTAAGGGGTACTTGGCTAAATTTGCTTTAAAATGCATCTTCTGCTTAACGCCAGGGAGGATTTCAACCAAATTTAGTCTGAAGCATCAGTAGGCGAGGGCAATCATTTCTTAAATAAATGAGGTTGGTTCGACCCCTGTGGCCAGGGGGGCGGGGCCCTGAAGGGGAACTTAGCTAAATTTGCTTTTGAACGCATCTCCTGCTTAACGCCAGTGAGGATTTCAACCAAATTTAGTCTAAAGCATCACTAGGGGAGGGCAATCATTTTTTAAATAAATGAGGTTGGTTCGACCCCTGAGGTCAGGGAGGCGGGGCCCTGAAGGGGAACTTGGCTAAATTTGCTTTAAAATGCATCTTCTGCTTAACGCCAGGGAGGATTTCAACCAAATTTAGTCTGAAGCATCACTAGGCGAGGGCAATCATTTCTTAAATAAATGAGGTTGGTTCGACCCCTGTGGCCAGGGGGGCGGGGCCCTGAAGGGGAACTTAGCTAAATTTGCTTTTGAACGCATCTCCTGCTTAACGCCAAACAGGATTTCAACCAAATTTAGTCTGAAGCATCACTAGGCGAGGGCAATCATTTCTTAAATAAATGAGGTTGGTTCGACCCCTGTGGCCAGGGAGGCGGGGCCCTGAAGGGGAACTTAGCTAAATTTGCTTTAAAACGCATCTCCTGCTTAACGCCAGGGAGGATTTCAACCAAATTTAGTCTGAAGCATCACTAGGGAAGGGCAATTATTTCTGAAATAAATGAGGTTGGTTTGACCCCTGTGGCCATGGGAGCGGGGCCCTGAAGGGGAACTTAGCTAAATTTGCTTTAAAATGCATCTTCTCCTAAATGCCAGAAAAGATTTCAACCAAATTTTCTCTGAAACTTCATTTGGGGAGGGCAATCATTTCCTAAATAAATGAGACTGGTTCGACCCCTGGGGCTAAGAAGACCGGGCCCCAAAGAGGAAAATTATCTAATATTTTGCTTTAAGACGCTAATATCCCCTAATTGCCTGAGTGGATTGTACAAAATTTGGTCAAAAACATTATTGAGGAAGAACAAACATTTCTTATTTGAATAAGTTTGATTGACCCCTGCGGTTCTAAGAAATGGTACAGCTAGGTTATCATATTCTATGGTGTAGTTTTCATAAATTGTTAAAAATTGGTTTCTAGGTTTATAAAAGCTTATAGTTGAATGAAAATTAAAGCATTGTCTAATTACACCCTGTAATATGACATATTACTTATTTCAAAATCTGTTAACATGACAACTAAATGGAGGCCTCTGATTAGTTGAAAGTCAGATATTGTGGTCCCAGTTGGGTTAGAACATAGATCTCATCTGGTTTTGAGGAAATTTCATATAAAGATGTACTAATGCATTCAGTTGTAATGACTTTAATATAAAACCAAGTGAGTGATACAGGTCCAATGGACCTCTTGTTAAACTCAGTTTATACCATATCGTGGCATCAGTCATCTGTCCTTTTTTCAATGACTTCTTCATAACCACTGCTTAGAATTCAACCAACCTTTGACCGGCAGCATATGTATGTGATGGGGATTCAAAATTGTGCAAATGGAAAGGCTGACCCTTTGGATGAAGGTGGGGCTGAGGGGGTCACAATTTCCCTGAGATTATCAGATTAGAATCAGCCCTATTTGTCAGGAAACATTGTTAGGTGGTGGGGATTTAAAATTGTATAAATTGGAAGGGCTGTCCCTGGTGCTGGGGGGTGGGGGGTGG